GCAGTTTTTCGAATTTTTCACCTGTAGGAATGCTGCCATTACTCTGCCAATCCATGCCTTGATATCTGAGTCAGATTCTCTTTGTTTAACAATAATACTGCACAGGTATGTATAAGCTAACACCTCTTCCAGAGCTTCTCCATCAGGTGTGATTGGGTCGCTGCCAGCTGTGTTGTAATTCATATTCTTGGTTTTTATTTGTTAATGTTGAGGCCTATTATTGCGGAAATCGCTGATTCATCAGCTATCTTTGTACGTATTTGTTATTTTGTACGGACAGAAGGGCTAAGTCATCTTGAGAACTCACATCATTAAGCGCAGTTCCATGTATCCACTAAATTTTGTACCTTTCTTGAACTTCGAAAGTTTTTATTATCCAGTTAACAGCTTATAAAAAGAGGAAGGTAGGGACGAGATAACCTTGTCTAACGCCAGTCCTTATGCGAAATGCATTTGCGAGCTCCAAGACTTTTAATTCAGTCCTCTGCAATAATTTCGTACTACAGTGACTACCTTCTCACTTACTCCAGGGTATCGAAGACGATACCACAAAGTTTTCTCATTCACACTGTTAAGTTCTTTCCCATAATCAAGGAAGTTAATGTATAGTTATATGTTCCAGTCAATCGACTATACAACAATAATCCAAAATGTCGTGACTTAGTCTTTATATGATCGATCCATGCAGAAGTTAATCTGTAGATCTCGAAGTTAGGAACCTAATAGATCTTCTGTCCAACTTATATAATTCGGCTTGTCTTCTCTTTAGTCTTTAGTGGCCTGTTGACCTGACTCCAATTCGATCGAATGATGATGTTAATAAAATATGTATCTCGGCTACGCTCGCTTATAATTATTGACTTAATTTGTGTTAGAAAGTAGGGAAATTACATAAGCCATAAACGGGAAGTAATTCTGGATGCGTATATTCTATACAGTCGTTTATCCGAACAGATATAAAGAATAAGAATCGAGGAAACGAAGCAAAGCGAAGAAGGCAATTGAGCCGACTCCATTAAATCAAGCGTGACTCAATATTTATGACCAGAAAAAAGAAGCTAAAGACGTGTGATGAGTGAGATAAGCGGTGAACATACATATGCTCATATAAAAAACAGTCAAGGTTAGTGAGCGAATAATTGATAAGGTCAAAATGTGACTTAAGAAGAAGAAATAAAACGATCTGTTCAGAAGCTAGAATAACTCATATGAACTTGACGTAGAACTACACATTACAAATCCAGCTGCTTCTCTAGTATTGATCTATACAATGACCTTGTTGACTTCCTCGATTGTTGAAAGAGTAATATCTACAAGAGGGTCTGTGTGTGCTATTTTGACGTCCGATGAGTTCAGTAGCTCCAGTCTATTCAAGAGCCCTTCAAAGTTTCTTACCTACTTGTCCCATTTTTTCGTTTGGTCACCCTAACATACCACATTTCATACTACCGTCTTCGTTATATCATAAAGTTCTGTCACATTTCTTTCTTTCGCAGATTTTTCTGCTGTTATTGTTAGGTCTTCCATATATTTTCGTTCATCAGCTCCAATGCTTCTCTTTACTCCCTCGTTTGCTTCCATGTATCTGTCTTGTGTTTTGGCATTCTCCGCTCTTGTTCGGCTGTGCTTGAATGCTGTATCCCTGTTCTTCTTCTCTTGAATCTTACCCACAATATCAACGGAGATCCACTGTCTATCCTCGTTCTTCTAGTGGTCTAGCATCTCTTGGCATGTTGAAGTAATTGTTTCTTTTTAATCCCTTTCCAGTTTCTCACTATAATTACTTTCTATTCTTTTGGTAGATCTTATAGCTTATAGCTCGTTACTGAAAGCTATATTGAATTTGCTGAGTTTGTTAGTACCCCTAACGTAGTCTGTATCTAAACATTTGTAGTGCTGCTTGTTCAACTCCTCAATTCTTTCTCAACTTCAATCTGAGCTTAGTTATAGATCTGAAGTTATATCAGCACCCCTCTTTTTTCTTATATCTTCAACGGATATTCCAAATTTTTTATCCATATTAATGTAACTGATCTAATTCTCCGTAGTGTTATTCGGTGAAACCCATGTAGTCTCTGTATGAGTTTGTGATGGAAGATATTGTCACCTATTACTAATTTGCCGAATTTATATGCATATTTTGGTCTATCACTTAGCTCATTTTTCTTTCCTAATCCTTATCGACATATTTTATATTCCTATCCAATCCTATCCATCCCTATCTGGGCACTTAGGTCCCCTATCTAGATGATCATGTCTTTCCTGGGCACTATTCTAGGATGAACATCAGTATCTTTGTATCTCTTCCACCTTCGCTGCTATAACTGGTGGGCCCATAGCACTGGATGTCATTCATTGTAATCCTTGCCTATTTGGTTTCCAGGGATACTTTGATGATCCTCAACCTGTGGGTTTGTCATCCAATAAACGTTTCTAATGCTTCTTCGAATAACATCAGTTTAACTTTATGTGAGTGTGGGACGTCTTCTTCTTTATGACCGGAATACAATTGTTATATCCTGGCGAAGATATAAGTACGGGTAACTCCCAGGACCTATTAATGGACGATTGTTCTATGTATATTCTTATTGTTTAACTATACAGTAACTAGATTACGTATATCTATATTCATCTCATTATAAGCTTCATTTTGACCTATTGATTATTGTTATACGATTTACTGTTCCTAAACTATACTCTGTTTATTGATTATTGTCTCCCACGCTCACAGCCACATTTGGCTTGATTTTGTACAAATATTTGCTATTTTATGGTGTGATGTGGTCTGCCTGTCTGATATATAAACAGAGTATGTTTGAAATAAACGATTCGCATAGATTCACATAACAGCAGCTGCTATTGGTGTACTGGACTGAAGTGGAAGGGCTAGGCGGATTAAGGACCAATAAGGACGCGAGATTACTCATACTGATTGGACGTCCTTGATTGTCACCGTGTTAAGGTTGGAGAAGTCGTATTTCTTTTGGTGGATAATTCATGCGAATTACGACCTTGTTTAATTTATAAGGTCATAACAAATTAGCGACAACCCTGATCGAGTCATAACAACAATGATAGCTCTCTTGAAGTCATTCTTGTTTTTCAGATTAAGTGAATTGAGTTTCACTCAATTCAAGAACGTCCAGGTTATATCCTCTCATTTCTGCGGGACACACCATTTTTTCGATTATTCATTTTGTTCATGAATTATTTTATTACATTGATTGTAACTTAACAACTTACAATGAATTTTCCTACCCTCTTCGTAAATGACCTTCCAAATTTACAATACATTTTGAACGTATTTAAGCTGTAATCGATGCAAAAGTTTATTAATTTAACACACAAGTTTGCCTAATTTACTCACAAATTGTTTACATATGGCTTATTTGGGTTATTAAAATAAAATTATTATGAATTTATAATTGTAGGGGCTAACGTTGAAATTATTGAAAACAATTATTTGTTCAAATCTTCGTTGTTTTTCAATCTCAACTATCGCTAAATGTATTATGCTAACAGTCGGATTATACAAATTTCGACAAGGTAATAGGATAGAATTTTACTGCGAACCATACGAAAGTACACAAGTCAGCTCTGTTTAATGAATTCCTAGAAACAATTAGGAAGCAAATTTTATTTAATTCGACGAATATTCATTGGTGTCCTTTCTTAAAATATTATAAATAGCTTATAATTCAGTATCACAGTTGATAGAATTGATGTCATAATAACCAGTTTATAATTCAGTTCCCAATGCTTAGCATTTAAACTTCTTGAGAATTGGGTGTTTGGAGACAGTCAACAGAAAGCCAGGAATCTAGATTTTATGCTAGCTGGTTTCCTCCAGAAAATTGTTTCACCGTGTTTGTGTCTAAATTACTTTCGAGTGGTGTTATTCCTTTTCTTATATATATACTTTGGTTGCAAAGGTTTATTTTTAAACCATACGTCTGAAAAAGTTAAAGAATTCTCAACACGAAATACAAAGTTACAACAATTTCTAATCTCCAACTTGGAAATACTCTGAGAAATATGTTTGAAAGAGTTTTTCAGTGACCATTAGATTCGGTTCCACTTCAGCCACAAATGTCTTGAAACAAATTGTCTTTCTATATGTCGATTTTTCATACCATTTTATTTTTGATGCTTCGATTACATTGAAATCCCCTTTCGTTTCTACAAATAGATTTTGATTAACATCAACTTATTTGCTGGTGAAAGATGGACTTGACACGCATGAAATTGATCACCACCCAGTGATCAATCAATTGTGACTGGTGAAATTTGTTATATGAAATATGTTCTTTGTTAGTAATAAAAAGGTGAAAAACTGGGACTATGAAATTAGTCCTCAATAATAGAAACTATTGTCTAAATACGACACGATTATAGAATATTTATCTTATCAAAATCATAATTCACTTTTAACCTTCAGTATATTAGTGGCACATTATTTTTCCCATAAACATAACAAAAATTATGAAAGTTGACTCATTTCCAGGTTGGTTGTATTTCTATAGAAATGATGAAATAACTTGACTGTTTAGATGAAATCATATATAATTAAAAACAAAATCTAAGTCGACAGTATTCGTTGCTTCATTAATTCTCACCATCTGGCTTAAAATATCTAGCATCTGTCGTGAACTCATATATATATATATATATATATATATATATATATACTCATGAAATAATATCTGATTTCTCCGTTGTTCAGTCAAAAAGGTAGCTTATCCTTAACGTTATTTGATACTCTAACAAAATATCAGGTTCCTAACATGTAGAGAGATACATTTACTTCAACCTTGGTGATGTATTTTAAAGTATATCTGAAATATTCACGTGTCTTATAAAAGATTCATTGTCTAATACTATTATTCTGTCCTATTTGTATGACAATTTTCAGAATGAATTAAATAACAAATAAAAATATGCTAACAGTTTTACATAATTTACATTGAGAATCTTGACTGAACATTTTTCCACTATTTCAGAGGTATATACAGATTACCAAAAAGTGCAGATCATCCAGTGGATTCAACAGCTGATCGATTTACTCCAGATGAATGTCAAAAAGCTGCTAATAAATTAGGTCTTCGAAGAAGACAAGCACGATTTTGTATGCACCCACGTTTTGGTTATGCAATGCTTGCTGTACTTAGAGCTGCACATGCTGTAGGATATCACTGCCCAAAAACATTTTCAGATAGACGATGGAATTGTACTTCTATACATCAACTACCGCATGTATCACCAGAGTTAAGAAGAGGTAATTTTTTCATTAATTTAGTGCTTACGATTTAATAAAAGAATAAGAGTCAATCTGTTGGTAAATGTAACGAGTTATTAGTCGCTTTATTTGAAAATAAAAATTTTTCATCAGTAAGTTGATGAAATGTAGTATTAGATAACTAAAAACTAGGTTGGACATAATGGGGTCAAACCACTAGAAAACATAAATAGTCAGTGATTTTTCGTTTTTATTTCGTTTATAAGTACAGAAAATGAATTACCTGAAGATGTAAGGGCTAAATTTATTCATTTGTTGATGTTTCTCTCTGAATTATGATCATTCTCAGTCGGCATAGTTCATATCCTTACAAATTAAATTAATGCCCTTTAAATAAGTAAGCGGTTAACTGAACTCAGTAACTCAATGGGCAATTCATTGTATCTGAAGAGAATAAACAGGTATTGTGTTTGAGTGCCGGTGTGGACATCAATGCAGGGATGTAAGTATATCTATCTTACTCATCTAAAAAGAACTACACTCACATCTGAATTTCGCTACTAGCCATGATTCATCTCTCCCATGAAAAGAAAGTGGTTATTTTGATAATATACATAACATAGAACTACAGTTTCATAAACATATATATATAGCTTGGACCAAACCAAAGTTAGGAACTATTGTTCTCGCGATGGAAAAAGTCAAAAGATGTCATCACATGTTCACATGGTACTAGCTCCGTAGTGAATTTCCTGAAGTCCTATTGAGACTCTGTAATATGTAAAATTAGTACAATTGAAAAAGTGGTAATGGTGGATCAATGACATTGAACGTCAGTCATTAAATATAAATCTGCTATTTTTATCTGATTTTTATAGGAAACTATACCTTGTACTTACAAATGTATTGAACGGAATCGGATAAATATAGAGAAACTTATGGTTTATTGAAAAGAACTTACTTGTATAGAAACTTGAAATGTACAGTGAGGCTTTTGTCTAAAAGTCGATAGAGAGAAGTAATCGATACGAGGTCATAGTTTAATCCTCTGTGAGCTGATTTGTTTATAGCAAGTGTAGGAGATCTTATGCCCAAATCGATGGTTAAAAAAAGAAGCTTATGTAGGAAATATGTCGACAAAACTCTAATCGGGTGTGATAAAAAGTAAAGTGAACTAAAAGTACTCTGGTTTGTCATAAGTCATTAAAATTTATGATAGGAAAAGAATTTAACTGAAAATTAGCTGTTTTTACGTCTTGCTCAGTAAAATAAGGGATGAAGCAAATAAAATGTTCACATTTAGTAAACGTATTAGATAATGCAGAGGATATCTGGAAAAATGAGAGCTGCATTCTATTTAAAACTAACCTACACCTCATTTGTTCCTCATCCTAACGCTCTCATGTATTCTGCTCAACTTTATTGAAAGCGAATTTTATGGAGGGAATTGTTTACCGTAAACAATTTATAAAAAACTTACGTTTAGTTAAGATGAGAATACCTCTAAAGAATTTAAAATACTTAATATAAAGTAACTGCAGAAATCTTAAATTCAAGGTGTTTGTGTAATATTGTGTACAAGATCCATTCGACAGTTATTAGAAGGAAAAATAACACATAGTCCACAATGTGGAGGTGTTAGCCGTGCACAGTCAAAAGCCAGAATTATGTTTTCAACATAATCTGCTAAAGCTCTCTCTTTACCATACTCAATGTTTTGATCTCATACAGTCCTTAAACAACTGTTCGTAATTCGCATAACTATCGTCTACCTAAAAATGTTTTTTTTCTGTATATTACAGACACGTTAGTTACATTGGTGTGAAAGTGATATGTAAAATCGATATTTTCCAAATATTTATTTTTCGAATAACATCTGATCATATTTATTTTTGTGCTAATATTTTATGTTTTAATAAGTCGTTTCAATAAAATAATACCTCTATGTTTTTCAGTTATAATATCGTTCGATAACAGTTCATTTTGCAACTTATGTCAATAATCCCATTCACTGAAAAGTGTTAGTTAACCATATTGAATCATATCGAATAATTTATTAATTTGCAGTTTGTTAATCCCTTGAACAATCATAAATGGACTCATCATAAACAACTGTAAAACCTCCTCCATAATTATAAGCAAAAATGGCTAGTGGCTGGCAGTGGAATCCAGAACGCACGTTTCGTCCTATTTGAGACTCATCAGCTGGATGCACCTGCATCCCAGAGTTGATGTTCACTCCTGAATTCCACTGCTAAATACCATCCATCTTTGCCTATAATACTTATGAATTAAGGCAATATCGAGGCAATCCGCACAGTAAGCATATATGCCAATAAGAGACTGATCAATTGCGGTCGTAGACAACGATGGGAAGATTCAAGCAAACAATGCAAAATGAGTTTATCCTTTATAATGTTTCTGAAATTGATCTTTACACTTCAATCATAACATATAACCCTTATCTTACCACTTTGGATTATGTGTAGTCACAGCTACTTTGGTTATTTCAATGGTCGATTATTTATCAAGAGTAAAATATGCCACCCATAACAGTATACTTAATAAATAAAAGTATTTAGCTAGTTTAATGATCCCACCGCATTATAAAAAGCTTTTCTGATAGCAAGGTTTGACTTGATAATTTTAAGTAAATTGATCATTGGAATAGGTTGTCATAAATAAAAATAATACATACGTATAATATACAAGTAGAAAAATTAGATTTTCTGACATTTCGTGACAAGTCCTGTTCAAACCTGTTTTTTGATTGATCACACCTAATATTCTTGATTTGTCCAGTTGTACTATTCAAACTTGGATTAATTTTGATTTGGTTATTTCTTCCTTGAAGAAGTGGCTTACAGTGAGTTACGAAACGTTAAAAAATCTAATTTTTTTACCCATTGGGATATTACAAATACATTATTTTCATTTATATTCTGACAACATACCAATTTCTTTATTATTTAAATACTATCATATAAATTCACAAGCAAACACCCCCTTTGGAGATCTACTAAATTAAAAATGCTTAAGCTATGGTCAGTTATTTTGTTTGTAAATATACTGTCACTTTCAGTGTAGTATCATAACTGAACAATTGGATAAGAACATCTACCCAGATAAAGTGAACACAGGCTCTTAAAGCAAAGCAACAAAGTTGACTGAAGTAAACATGATACTTGTGGAGCAGAAAAACGTAGTTAATTCATTTGCATTATCTACCTTTTTTTAACTATGTAACTATTCATATTAAAATAATCACTATTATAGGTACACGTGAACAAGCAATTGTACATGCATTTGCAAGTTCTGTATTATTATTTGAAATTGGACGATATTGTGCATTGAATAAAATTCGATATTGTTCTTGTGGTGATGAAGATGGCAGTTATGCTACACCAAATTATCCTTCATCTCATCTATATAAAAATAACAATAATAATTTACTTAGACAACAAACTTTGTACAATGATAATAATAATGCATTAGTATATAATTCCGATGGTCATTCAATAAATTCCATTGATACATCTAAATCAAACAATATACCAATGACAGATGGTCAACCAACAGTTAGTAAGTTTTATTGGGCTGGTTGTTCTGATAATTTACGTACAGCTAAAGAATATACATCATTATTTCTTGGTTTTCCAAATGTGCATGTAATGCTACCTCCACCAATGGAAACAGATAATCCTAATTTAGATTCAATACAAGATATGAATAATCAAAATCGTTATAAAAGATCAACATACTCTTCACATGTTACAGAAAGTAATTATGATACAACAGAAATATCTGATATGTTTAGTCTGTTTCAAAATCAAATCAATGTTAATGAGAATGTAGATGATAGAGTTAGAGAAGAAGATCCAGAAGAAGAAATTGAAGAAAATGAAGGAGAGGATGACAGTGAAATAGATGATTCAAAATTATTCCATTTACAACATGAATATACAGATAGACGACGTCGTAATCTGCATAAAACATGGTCATATCAATCTACAGCACAAACCAACAAATATCCATCATACAGTTCAGCACAACAAATGTATGATTTAATAGATGATAATGATGAAAGATTACCACGTCATGCTAGATCAAAACAAGGTAGAAAGAAATATTTATTACGTAGTCTAAATCGTCATAATTATCTAGCAGGCGTAGTAGTAAGTTAATAATACACATTGTTACAATTATTTCATTATTATATTTTCTTTGCATACCGTTTAAAGTATTTGTGAATGATGGTGAACTGGATAACATGGTTAATTGATTTATTATCAGTAATTGAAATGAATCTTCTTTGATTTTAGCATTCAGTTCAAAAGTTTATGGTTTATCATAGTTGAATACTGAAAGCCAGCTTAATCTAAGTACTCGCGTCTTATGCTCCATGTACAATGGCAAACATTTTATACCAAACAAATAAAACAAAAATTTAAAATCTACTTCATTTGTCAAAGAGTTTACCTAAAAATCACTTCCATATGAAGACAGTATACGTCCGAAATCAAAATTAATTTGAGAACTAATAAAAGCCTGAAGGAAATGTACAACATTTTTTGTTCAGGCTTGGAGCACTGCAACAATTCACACAAGATCTAAAATTGATCTTTTTCACATAATTGAAATCTAGTGTTAAACGTTTCCCATCGAGCACATTCATGAGAAAATTCATTTATCATCCATAGCTATAGACAGATAACTCCTTAGCATGCAGCTTAATTAACAATACAAGTCACTGTGTCTTATAAAAACTTCAAAAAACTCATTGGGAATTTACTCATTAGTGTGTGCCTAATTAATTAAGGTACCAATTAATTATTCGAAATGTAGAATAGTTTAGCCTTCTTTTTAACATGTACCGTGAATAAAAGGAAACACCATGCTAAAGTGTAGAATGCACCAAACAGTGAAAATTCAAGTATACTTTGTTCGCAGATAATTGTTTTCTCCGTAAGCTTGTTTCAGTTTAACTTGTAAGTAAAATGACAAAACAATACAATGGACAGTATGTATGTATATTAGTTGCTAGAAGTTACAATGTATTTACATGAAAGGTATTTAGTGAGCCATCAATCCTCCGTTTGCATCTTCTCGTGTGTTCTGAAATCTGAACTGTCTTCTAGACTGGCATCCAAGTGTTTAGAGAATGCCGTGATTTCGATGTACCGAAACTCTTCACTCTGTCAGACAATTGTTACAACTTCGACGCCAAGCTACATACAAAGATTCTTATGAGCAGCGACCACATGAACACTATCAGACTCATTGAATTAAAAATTCATTTAAAATGGGAAGCTGACATAAATAAATAAATACAGGAAACTGAAATTCTTTTGAAAATATTTTTATTTGAATGCACACATAAATAATGTAAGTTTATTTTCAAAATAATTGGGATAAACGGAGGGAAGTTAAAATACTACCTAATAATTTTTATACCTTAATTTGGTAGGTACTTCAAAGAATATATGTATATATAATATTATATCGCCCTTCGTAATATTACGTTTACTTTCCTCATGTTTATAATTATCCCTTGTCTGGAGAGTTTCTGAACTATCGGTGTGATTTGTTAATATATGCTTTTGTAGTGAACAAGAACACAAGTTGGGACAATCGAATATATTTGAGCACAAAATTACAGAATATCTCAGTAAAATCTGGCAACCAAACAGTAAATAGTTAATTTGCAAAGTAACAACCACTTGATCATTCCTTCTACAAATATCAGTCATTCTTCTCTGACTTCATTGTTCATGCATTTTCATACCAATTGCGTTTCGTTCCGGCTCTTTCCTTATCAATCATCTAATGAAATACATTCTATGGCTGACCATCACTATATACTACTTATATGGATATAAGTAACCCATATTACACTTTCAGAATAATATCTACATTTGTTTCTCATTATTTAAGGGATACTGATAGAAACCGTTAAGTCTAGTTTTCGAAAAATCCACTTTCCTAATATAAGTTGGAATCTAATTAGAAGTTTCCAGTTAATAAACTCTTTATGCACTGATAATCAAACCAACTCAGGTATTCGAGCTTCATTTAATCGATTAGGCTATAAATAAACCCTAAATATATTGTTCATGATATTATTATTCAGTTGTCAAAATATCACTTACTTTCACTTATAAATTATAGATGATTTTCTTTCCAATAATGAAAATGTCAATAAAATAATAGAATTGGGTTTTTTTTCTTTCACTTCTTATAAGTGCCCAATCATAGATGATCCACCAAATAATTTAATGTAAATATAATTATCTACTGTATACTGAATATGTTCTACTGAGACTAACGTTGCACTGAGTAGTTACTAACGTAATGACAGTACCTGACTAGTTGACAGGTATCCAATAAACTGAGTATATGCCAATACTTTATTCAAATAATTACAATAATCAGCTTCACGAGGAACAATGTGAAAGTATGTAGGAATGATTACTATGGTTTGACTTGAAAATTTCATATAAATTAAGCATTGAGTAAACTAATATTAATGAAAATAATAAATATCCTTTGGAGAATTAGTTTACAGAGAGTTACGAAACATAAGAAAATTGAATCTTTCTACTCATTGGGGTGTTATAAATATATTGATTTTATTGGTAATGTGAAAGTAATTTTAAAAATGACACGAAACGTTCCAACCTTGAACATATTGTGACTTATTCACGAAGCACGGATCTTTCAGATCTATCATTCATGTGACGGTTAATGATGCTATAGTGAATGAGAACACAAGTGGGAAAAACCAAGTGTATTTGAACGTAAAATTACCGAATTTCTTAGGAAAATCTGAGTACCATACAGTAAATTCTTCATTTGCAAAATGTTATCCAATTTTCTCAAACTTTATTGTTCCCTCATTTTCTCATCAATAATTTTCTATTTCCATTTACTTTTCCTAAATCTTCTTAACCTTTTAATTGATGATACATACATACTACTTATTTCTGTCGACATCGCTACCACATACCACAATACTCTCACTACTGAAATGGTCTGTGAATCATGGAATTACTATTTGAAAGCTAAGTTCCATAGCAATCAAATTAACAACTATTTTATATTTTACAATAAGTAATAACAATAGTAACATCTGATTAGACAATGAAAAATGTTAGGTGTTTCATTGAATAAGTTTAGCATATACAAAACAAAATAGAATAGTTTTGAAAAACTTATTTAATACATGATTATTCTTTTCTGAATATGATTTTTCGGCACTTTTTTCAATATTAACTGGAAGTATTCTGTTTGTTATTAAACAGTAAGTATATCATAGATTAAAACATGTTATAAATAGAATAAGAATAAAGCATGAATGACAATATTTGCAGAATATGATAAATATTATTAGAAGGGGGTTTTGTGGAGATTTTAGTCCTGGGTTCAAATCTCGCGAGGCGGGATCGTGGATGCGCATTGCTGAGGAATCCGACAATAGGATGAAACGGCCGTCCAGTGCTTCCAAGTTTTCCATGGTGGTCAAGCTTCAATCGATTCATGATCTCAAATATATAAATTACGGTGAATCTGTTGTATTTCTTTGTATTCTTTCCAACTACATATAAAGATGAATTAATAATGAATAGAGATTTGGTTTGTTTGTAATCTGAAAGACGTTACGGATTCACGTTTCAAAATATAAGGTTGTTTTCGTAATTACTTTAAGTAATAGTTCTAGAATATTAGGATAATCACATTGTGTATTCTAACAAAAATTTTAGAAGTTTAAGTAAGAATTGAAGATTTGCAATTTGGATTAAGTAAATTATGATTACGATTCATTGAGAGAAAAAGAGATTAACATGTTCTTTAGGTTGTTGAAGGTCGACTACAGATATGTTTGAATACAAAGGTGAGTTTTAAGCCTTCTGGTTGCTATGATCTCTTTGAGTTTTAATATTATGGAATTATATTGTTTATAAATAACACTGAATGGATTCGTTGAATTCACGTCATATCCTGTGTCTAGTAGGTACCGTGCTATAGAACTGCATAATTAGATTTCTCGTTGAAGATGTATGATTTTCGAAATATCCCCATTTGACCGAGTAGAAGCCTATATGCTGTCCCTCCAATGTATGTGGTTTTGTATATACATGTAAATTGATGAATGCTGTTAGGGGTTATATTTGATGTATATTTGTCTACTTTAGTTTGTAACATTGATCATAGTGTTATGTATAGTGAGATAAAACTCGCAGCTCAGAATGCACTTTATGAAGCTACTTATAATGTTTAGTTGATTTTATTCATTATCTGGTAACCTCTAGATGACAATCAAACAAAAAATTCTCCTATTCTCGTTTGTATTCTTTTTTCGGTATTCAGGACTATATTTCTTCACAATCGGTTGAGGGTATCCGTTTTCCCTCAGATAATTATTTTTCGCAGTATATTTCTCTTCGAGCTTTTTTGGTGAACACAACTTTCTGGATATTTAGAAGAGTATTTTCACCAACCCATGTTTAGTAAAATAACAAACGATAATTAAAAAGAATTCATATATATGATAATTTGTTTATCTTAATGATAAAATGACCGTACATTGAACCGGATATCAATAATAAATGAATTATGACTAAACTATCCATTAATTTAATCATTTTGCATGGAAACATTAAGCAAACATTTATTAACGATCAAACAGCTTACTAAGTATTTGTGTTCGTACAACTCACCATCTCCAAAATAAAAGTTAAGTTATTCAGATCTGTTTTTTTATTGATCACACCTAATATTCTTGATTTGTCCAGTTGTACTGTTCAAACTTGGATTAATTTTGATTTGGTTATTCATTCCTTGAAGAAATGGCTTACAGTGAGTCACGAAACGTCAGAAAATCTTATTTTTCTACTAATTGGAATATTACAAATATATTATTTTTTTATTAATGTGTAACAGTTCAATAAATGTAAAACACCCAGTTGATAAAAATTCAAGTATTCCAGTGAAAAGCCGTGACGAAAAAAATTCATTCACATCTGGTATGAGACAAATATTAATAATGACGATGCATGATATTCATGCAATATAACGTATTAAATGAAGTTAGAAATGAAAGCTATTGAGTGGCTATCCAGTAATCTAAAGGCTACACTCTCATTATCATCCCTGAAGGTTGTTAGTTCTACTCCTC